ATATCGGGGCTCCCTTGTATGTTACTACCTGTTTCTCCCTTGCTGCCTTTATGTTTCTTTGTCTTTGATATTTGCCATTTTAATAATGATGTGTCTTGGAGTGGGCCTCATTGGGTTCCTCTGGAATGGGGCCCTCTGTGCTTCCTGGACCCGTGAGACCTTTTCTTTCCTCTAATTGGGGAAGTTTTCCATCATTACTTTTTCAAAGAGGTTCTCTATCCGTTGCTCCTCTTCTTCTCCTTCTGGTATCCCTACTATGTGGATATTATTGTGTTTCAGGTTGTCCTGCATTTCCCTAAATGCCTCTTCATTCTTTTTGAGTCTTTTTCCTTCTCTTGCTCTTTCTGGGAGTTTTTTCCTACCTTATCCTCCATCTCACTGATTCAATCCTTGGCTTCATCTAGCCTGCTTTCGATTCCTTCTACTGTGTTCTTCAATTCAGAAATGGTATTCTTCATATCCTCTTGTGTCTTCTTGATAGTTTTTATGTCCTTTTCCAGGTTGATATATTTTGTTGTAAGATCTTGATAGTTTCTCTGCAGTTTCTCAGTTCTCTTTGAGCTGGCTGAGTTCACTGAGCTTCCTTAGAGCCACTGTTTTGAATTCAATATCTGGTAGTTCACTTGCCTCTATTTCATTTTGCTTTCTCTGTGGGGATTCCTCCTTTCGCCTTATTTGGGGGGAACTTCTTTTTTTTCCCAGTTTTGTGAGAGTCTTTTTTTTTTTTTTCTTTTTTCTTCTGCTTCAATTGATCCATCTAGATTTCCTGACTTTGTGGATTAAACTTCTATGGTAGTAGGCAGGTCTTTTATTTATTTATTTTTCTTTACTTTTCTTTCTGGGTCTGCAACTGATGGTGTCAGTTGTTGACCCCATCTGACCTTAGGCCGTTTGTTTGAGCCTTCCAGGAATCTACTGTCTGTGTCTATCTCCTGTGATTGTCAATCTGGTCACTTTGTCCTCATCTGTCAGGCTTACACAACACAGGGCAGAGTAGTGCCTCCTGATGGCGGGACTATTGTGCCCTTATAGGCTGCTGTCACTTAGGGCAGTAGTCCACCTGAGCAAGATGTAGATCGTGGACTGGGGAAGAGTCAGCACCAGGACTCCCCAATGCCTCTGTCTCCAGTCTCTCCTCGAGGGTCTCTGGGCAGCTCTGTGACTCCTTCGGCCAGGGATCCACTATTTCTGCAGACCACGGTGGAATCGTGCTCCTTCCAGCTCGCGCGCCCGTTTCTGCCTCTTTGGGGGCATGGTCTGCCTGCGCAAAATGGGGATTACGGAATGGCGAGGGAGTCTGCTCCGGGAATCTCAGATAATCCTCAAGTTCTTTTTCCCCAACCCCTCCGTCTCCAGTCTCTCCTCAAGGCTCTCTATGCAGCTCTGTGTGTCCCCTTTGGCCAGGGATCCCTCTATTGCTTCCAGCCAGTCTGCACTCAGCCCCCAGCCCCCATGCGCACAAGCTGTATGCGAAACGTGCAAAAGGCAGATTAATTGACTCACTTATGCCTGAGCGAGATGGTAGCTGCAGAGTGGGAGGTGAGTTATCACCGGGGCTCTGCTGGCCACCGTCTCAATTCTCTTCACAAAGTTTTCCTTACCAATCCTTCCTCAGGCACCAGCCCACTATACTGCCGCCTCTACCCAGAGATCAAGGAGGGCGGCTGCCACTGCAAATTTTTGCATTGGCCCTTTAAATGTCTCTTTGCATCTCCAGCCACCTGTCTCTGGCAGAGAGCACCCCTAAGCTTTTTGGTGTTGCGTTTTGTCTGTGTGTTTTCCTGGTTTCAGCTGCCATAGTCTAGGGATCCCCGTTTATGATTCAGACCCTGTTCTTCTTAGAGGGATCCAACTGGCTGGTTCAATGTCCCTCTGGTGCTGGCACCCATGGGCACCCAGTCCACCCTCTTGAGCCTCCACCCCACTTCTCACCCGTTCAGATGTGTGAAAGTTGATTCCCCTGTCTGTCTGCAGCTCCAAGACTCCTCTCCATCGTCCCATTGTTTTCCAGGTGATTTCTCCACTATTTAGTCGCAATTCCAGTTTGGTCTTGGGAGGAGGTCCAGGTGACTCCCATTCACTCCTCCACCATCTTTTTCAAGTATTTTAAATAAAATCTTATTTTTCATTATTTGAACTGATGGGAATTATGGACTTGCAGAGTCAAGAAATAATTTGGAATTGAAGTGAATTTCCACCTAAAAATGAACTTGATAGTGAGACTTTATTTCTATTTATGAATAATGAAGTTATATTGAAATAACCTGGGAAGGGGCACAGACTCCCCATCTCACCACAGCACAAAACTGAAATTTATATAGATCACAAAATCTTCAGCCAACATAAGCCTAAGTAGACATGCCATATCAAAACGTCCATGTGTAAAATTAGGTGATATTAAAGAATTACTGGTAATTTTTAAATTACTAATAGCTATGTGTTAACGAGTTCTTATCTTTAAGAGACAGCTATTAGAATCATGGTAGTAAATAGTAACAGGATTGCTTGAAATTTAAACAGAGCTGGGGTGGTCAGTGTAGGGGAATACACAAAAAACAAGGGTAACCATGAGTTAATAACTGCAGTTAACTACTATTCACTGTACCCTCATCTCTTCTGTTTGTGCTTGAAAATGTTCCGAGTAAAAAGTTAAACACCAACCATTCCACCAATTAGCATCTCTAGTTAAATGTTTTGGCTTGAAATGCAAAGAGTAACCAGAATTGAGGTGGTGGCAAACTGCACCTACATAAAGACTAGGTTTCCTGAAATTTTAACTATTACTGAGAAGAACCAAAATGTCAGAATTAAGCACAAAATGCCTCTGATCTATAAAAATCATTATTACTACTAGTACATACACACAATTGCTGTTACGCAGAATTACAGCAAGAGGTAGCTCACTCACACTTAACATAGAATTCTAGTATGTGTGGTTCCTGAATTTCTTAGCCAGCAGCCAATAACCAGAAGGGATGCTAATAAATACAGACACACAAAGAGCACAATACTGCTCATGGCTTAACAGGATGGTAAAAGAGAACAGCTATATAAGACATGAAGTTCACCACTAATGAACACAACTTGATGAAAAGTAATAACCAGTATGCTTAGTAGAAAGGCCACAGGCTTTGGAGTCAAACACAGACTACATTCTGCAGTCACTTACTAACTACATGAACCTAGCCAAATTACTTAACCTTACTTTTCTCTTCAAAAAATTAGTGGTAGGTACATCACTAGGCTTGCCTTGATTACAAAAAAGATAATTATCAAGTATGAGGTCTGCCCGGAAAAAGTCCAGCCATTGTTAATATAACGAGAATGGTTTACGTGGCATTGATGTAACCTGGCAGCCAAGGAGAGTGGACTGGAATGCTCATGTATAAACAATGATGACTTCACTGTACTAGTCAGTGGGGGCAGTAGACGCCATTAAGTGAACATGTGCACTACACAGCCGTCACATTCAAAACAACTGAGCGAGTAGAACAATGAATCTGCATCGAATTTTGCATTAAGCTTGAACATCCTCCTATGGAAACTACTTGGATGATTCAGAAGGCCACAGTACTGGCTGGTGCGGCTCACTGTCTCAAACATCAGTCTGCAAACTCGAAGGTTGCTGGTTCGATTCCTAGTCAAGGCACATGCCTGGGTTGTGGGCCAGGTACCCAGTTGGAGGTGTGAAAGAGGCAACCAGTCCATGCTTCTCTTGCACATCAATGTTCTCTTTCTCCCTCCCTCCACTCTCTCTAAAAATAAATAAATAAAATCATTAAAAGAAAGAAAGAGAGCCACAATTATGCGCAACTGGTGATTGGCAGCTTCGTCAAAACAACATGCCCACTCATGTATTAGGTCTCGTGCAGACTTTTTTGGCGAAACATCAAGTTACCCAGGTGACTCAGCCCCTCTACAGCCCAGATTTGGCACCCTCTGACTTCTAGCTTTTCCCAAAACTAAAACCACCTTTGAAAGAGAAGGGATTTCAGACTATCAATAAGATTCAGGAAAATACGATGGGACAGCTGATGGTGAATGGGAGAACTGTGTGAAGTCTCAAGATGCCCACTTGGAAAGGGACTGAGGCACTACTGTCCTATGTACAATGTTTCTTGTATCTTGTATCTTCTTCAATAAATGTCTCTATTTTTCATTACATGTCTGGCTACCTTCTGGACAGACCTTGTACCTGAGAAGCCAATTTTCCAATCCCAGATGACAACTTTCTGCAACTCTGTGAGAAACCATGAGCCAAAACCACCCACCTCAACTGCTCAAAGATTCCCAACCCTAAGAACCTGCATAAAATAATAAATGTCTACTGAATTAAATTGCTACATTTGGGGGTAACTTCTTACATATAATAGACAACTAATACATTACATGTAGGGTACAATTTTTCTACTATTTGACTAAATTTTTTGCTAAATATGGTTATTGAGTCTCTTTGCTATGTAAACTAGATTATAAAAGAGAAACCCTTTAATTCATCTGAACAGAGTGCTTATCATATTGTAATGCATGTTTATAAAGCTGTTATTTTCAATACTGAACTTCTTGTATTTGACTTTGTGTGCAAGAGAACTATGGATGCAAAAGTCCAGACCACTGTGTTATGGTTCAGAACCTCAGGCCCTCACCTAATATGCTGTATTATACACACACACACACACACACACACACACACACGTGCGTGTGTACACTCTCTATAGGGTCTGGCACAAATGGCCCTTTTTTTATTACAAAATCTTTTATTACAAAATTATAAGCATGTGTAATTCTGTAACATAACAATATTGTCTTCAAGCATATCACATGACATTTTAGATGAAATGTTCAAATTAAAACTATAAATTATTACACCTATATTATTACCCTACCAACCACACTCAAGCAGGCATTACTTCTGCCAGACCCTATATATCTGTATATATGTGCTCTATATCTGCTCTACAATATATTTTAATATTAATAAAAAGTACTCTTTGTCCTACCTGAATAAGACATTTGCTCACATCGCTAGCACAGAGTGCTTTGTTACAACTCAGTGATACAGGAATCCATGTCAGGAACACTATGAAGGCTAGGGTAAGCATAACAACAGAATGTGACTTCATGTTTCTTCAAAGACAATCAGTAACTCCCAGGATGCTAAAAAAACAAACAAACAAACAAACAATGAACCTTTAATTCAAAGGTAGGCACTAGGGTAAAAACAAATACAAAAATGAAAAACAACACAAACCAAAAATCATTGTCAGAAGATTTTTGAGTGACAATTTAAAGGTCACTCAAAGAAATATCAAACATGAAAAAAAAAAAGGCCCCTACAGTTTTACACAGTAATGTTTTGTTGGCTATCTTCAAAGATCTAGAATACTAACATTTCTGAGACTACCTAGAAATGGTGACTGTGAAAATTAAAGTGACTATACATATATGTATGTATATCTATGTCATCAGTAACATACGGGTACATCAAACAAATGACTAGTTTCAAAACTGCACTGCTACTATTCACCCTTAGTTTTAGACCCATTGTTCAATTATATGCCTATATAAAAAACATTAATATTGTATTATAATTTAACAATCTTTTAACTCCTAGAATTAAAACAAATTTTTAAAGTGGAAACTATTCTAGTAATGATGACTTTCTCAGTGTGTCCTAACATAATTAGAATAAAGCAGCTCAAAAAGAAGCTGACAGTCATTCCTTCAATAACTTAGCAAATAAAACAGTATAGTAAATTATTAACTGCATTGTGAACTCTATTAAAATATGAAGCTCTTCTCTTGATTCTATACCATGGGTACCATAGAGTCTTCAAAGTTAGTAAAACGATATTACAGTTTAAAAAGAAAAAGACTGGCACAAATTCTAACAGTGGTTAAACAACTCCTACCCCCAGATAGACAATGAAAATAAATGACTACTGATATAAGGTTAAAAAGTGCGTTTATGAGGCCTTTATAATTACTGTAAACTATTATACTATTACGAAGTACAATAAAGTAAAAACAATAGGTGAAAAGAATAAAGGGCTTTGTACCCCGTGTGACTCAATTTTGGAATGAGAAAGCCCTGGTGACTGCTACTGAGACCGTTAGTAACCCAATTATCTAATTTATTTAACAACACGTTGCCAAGTCGACTGATTTTTGGAGCCACCAGTACATATCTGTGGAGGCCAAGGAAAAGTATTTAAAAACTAACTTTTCCAGGACTAGTTTTCATCTTACAACTACCAAGGAGGGGATTCCCCTCCCTCCCCCAATGTCTTATCGTACTCCCAAAATCTTACTGGGAAAATATTCAATAAACCGGGGTTTGTACTAAGCAGGCAGCATAATTATTTCAGGGGCTTTTTGGTTATTTTCTCGGTTAAAAACAATACCCCATCAAAACTGTTTTCACACACCGTGACCACTTCCTCAGGCTCTGGCGACCTGTGTGTAATCCCTGAAGGAGACGGCAGCCTTTGTGCCGCTGTACCGAGCCCCTGCTGCCCGGGGAGGAGGCAGAGGCAACGGCGGCTCTTCACCCCGAGCTCACCAACGCGCGGCTGAGCAGGACAAGGCCACGAATGCCCGGCATTAGCGATACAGGAGAGGGTGCTGCAGAGGCGCCGCTGGCTCGTGACGCCAGAGCCGCCCCAGCCTGGGTGCCCACGCCCAGCACCCGCCAAAGGCCGTACCCCGACTTTGTCCTCCGCGTAGGCGGGGCTGAGACTGCGTGCGAGCAGCTCCGTCTCTCCCGGCTCCCGAGTAGCCCGCCCCAGCCACGGCCTCCAGAGGCCCGAGCCCTGGACCCAGACCCTCCCGGCCGCAGAGCTAGCCCCGGCCCGCTTCCGCTCACCGTGCGCCGCGGCACCGCTACGCGGCCTGGCCCAAGTTCCCCAGAGGGACTGTCCAGTCCGGTCGCGCCGCGGGGCTGTGCGAGGGAGGCAGGCCGCGCCTCCGCGCAGTCCCTCCGCGCAGCGCCAGCGAGCTTCGGCCAACTTAAAGAGACAAGCCCGCCCGCTCGCAGCCTTCCTTGCCCGTGCACCCGCCCCCGCCCTCGCCCCCGCCCTCGGCTCACCACGCATCCCGCTCCCTCCGCCCTCCCTCAGCTCCCCGCCGCCGCCGTAGCAGCTCCCGCCAGCAGGCGTCTCTTACACCGGAGGAGCTCCGGTCTACGATTGTCTCCGCCTGCGGCCCCGCCGGGCCCATGGCTCCGCCCCTAGCCCCAGCCCCCGGGGCCGCAGGATGGCCCCGCCCTCAGGAGCACACCCATCTTGGTGCGAACGCGCTATTTCTGTGGGCTGTCTTGCTTTCCCCTGTCTCGGGCTCCGGCAGACCGTACCGTCAGGCCAATTCTCTGCGTTAATCTTCTGCTAGTCATGGAACTGAGAATATGACGTTCAGGAGCGCCTCGAATCCTCTCAACAACTCTGTAAGGCATCTGTTATATGCCTTCTTATAGATAGGGATGCAATACTGAGGCACTCAGTGGTCGAGTAGCCTAACCCAGTAGAGCTGACGCCTGAACCCGACGTCGGAGACAATATTTGTTAAAGTACAGGTTTCTGAGACCTGCATCAGACCGACTGAATAAGGATTCCCAAGGGTAGAGCCTTTTTTCAGCAATTTACTAAAATTTGCTGCGCCTTTGGATATAAAAGACAGGATGCACAGTAGGAGCTGGCCCAGAAACAGCCTACAGGCCTGTGTACAGGGTGGACAGACAGCTAGACAAATGGCTACAGCGCACCACCCCAAGCCTCTGCAGGACAGGGCTGTCGGGCATGCAGGAAGCCAGCACTCATTTCAGCCTATATTAAAAAAAAATTAATGCATTCCACCAATAGGTAGCATTTGGATAAAAGCAGTGGAGCACTGCACTCAGTTCCTTCCCACTACCCTGGAAACTTGCTATTTAAAAAGACTCCCAAATGATTAGGTTGGAGCCCATTGGGCTAAATGATCTGCAAGGTATTTTCCCCTTGGAAATGGTGACCTAGTGCTAAAGTCTTAAGCTAGTAGCAGTCTTAAATGCCTTATATTCCCTTTGTTGATTTAAAGAAAACAAAGAATGGAAAGAGTTGATTAGCTGAGGAGGTGGATTGCATTATTGATGTTAGTACATTTTTGTACAGTAAGTAAGTATACATTTTAAAAACCATCCCTGAAAACTGTCCTAAAGAAATAATATTGCACACAAATTAACTTTAAGGATCTTATTCGAGGTATCACTTACTGGTTGAATGAATTATGACACTCTAGTGCAATGGACTGAATAAGCTATTTAAAAATAATATTGTAGAGGTCCTCAAATTTTTTGGTTTCAGCACCCGTTCATGCTTTCAAAAATTACTGAGGGCTCCAACAAGGTTTTGTTTATGTGTGCTACATCTATCAAAACTTTTGAAGTTACAACTGAGAGATTTAAAAAATATTTATTCGTTATTTAAGATAGATTCCATTATGTGCTAACATGAATAACATTTTATGAAAAATAAGTATATATTCTAAAACAAAAACAGAAGAGTGTCATTGTTTTACATTTTTTTGTTGTTTTCTTTAATGTCAAATTTAATAGTGTCCAGCAGAAGTAATACCTGCTTGAATGTGGTTGGTGGGGTAATAATATGGATGTAATAATTTATAGTTTTAAACAGTTCCCCTAAAATGTCATATGGTGTGCTTGAGTGTAATATTATTATGTTACAAAATTACATGCTTATGATTTTGTAATAAAAAGAGCATTATTTGTGCCGGACTCTGTAGAAGCCAGCTGGATTTTCATACCTGCTTCTGCGTTCAAACTGTTGCAGTATCATATATTATGTAGCTTCTAGGAAACTACTCCATACTTGTGAGAGAAGAATGAGAAAGGCAAATAATGTATTGCAACTAAAATGAAAATAGTTTTGAGCTCATAAACACCCTCAAAAGTCTTTGGGATTCCCAGGGTCCCCAGATCATATTTTGAGAACTAGTGTTGCAGATACATATTGACATAGAAAGATATTCATAATATATCAATATTTTCAAATACTGTATATTCAGGGATGGCAAAAGTAGGCTGATAATAGCAAATAATACAAGAATAAATAATACAAGAATAAACTGTTCTGTGTACTCAAAACTATAAACCTACTTTCCCCCACCTTTTTGTATTTTTAGAATGATTTTTTTTTTTTAGATATTTGAAATACAACATTATTCTGATTCTAAGTGAGAAGGAATGGGAATGACAGTAACAAACAAGGTTTCACCACTGAATATCGTGATGCGACTGCAGTAGTCTTAGAGTTGAAACTCAATAAGGAAAGAACTGAATTCCAAAACAGCTCAATATGCAGGTCAAAAAAATGAAGGTATTTTTAAACTTCCACATTCACCCCAAAGTCCATTCCTCTCTTTAAGTAGCCCAAAGATCAAGCACCGTTCTGCTTAGCCATGTAATAAAGTGGCAAATAACGCCACACCACTGACATCACAGAACAGTTGCCTATAAAACTAGACTTCTGAGGTTGGCTCCAGCTTCCCTTTCTTACAAGTCATCATCCTAAGCCAGGAGAGCAGCTCAGAGTTCTCTGAGCAACCTGGAGGTTGTGCTCATACTGTGCTACTGACGTTGAGTCCGTGACCACCTCAGGTGAGGCAAGAGCAGGCATGGCGACAAACTCTAAGTTACGGTCTCCAATTAGTTTTCTAGCAAGCCAGAGGAAGGCTTTTCAAAGTTGTAGTTACTTTTGGCAGAAATGGCATAGTACTGAAGATTCTTCTTTCAGTGGAAGACAATTGATTTTGCCTTACCTTTCCTGTCCTTACCATCCACTTTGTTGCCACACAAGACAGTGGGGATGTTTTCACACACTCGTACCAGATCTCTATGCCAGTTAGGCACATTCTTGTAACTAACTCTTGAAGTGACATCAAACATTAAAATGGAACACTGGGCTTGGATGTAGTAGCCATCTCTCAGCCCGCCAAACCTCCTGGCCCACCGTGTCCCACATTTTGAGCTTGATGGGCCCTCTGTTGGTGTGGAACACCAGGGGTGCCTGGGTAGCTACAACCTTCTTCTCAAATTCACCCATCAGATGATGTTTCACAAATGTAGTTTTCCAAGTCCCACCATCACCAACCAAGTTTGAACTGAGCTTGGCATTCTCCTTGGTTGGCTATGGTGATATGACTTCCAGAAGCATCTCCCAGCCCATCTGACTGAGAGCTGGAAAGATGGCGGAAGTCAGAATGATTAATATTCAAAATTGTGTATACGGTGTAACTTTTTCTAAAAGATTTCATTTATTTATTTTCAGGGAAAGGGGAAGGAAGGAAGGGAGGGGGAGAAACACTGAGGTGAGAGAAACGTCAATCGGTTGCCTCTTGAATGCCCCCAACTGGAGACCTGACCTACAACCTAGGAATATGCCCTTAGAGAGAATGGAACTGGTGACCTTTCAGTTCCCAGGCTGACACTCAATCCACTGAGCCACACCAGCCAGAGCATGGTACAGTTATTTCAAGTCCTGGAAAGGGAATGACTGTGTTAGAAGTGGTTATCTCTTGATAAGATTATGAGTAATTTCTGTTGTTTCTGTTTTTTCTTTTCCTTTTTCTGCATTTTCTGATGTCTTTGCTGCTAGTACTTTGGTGAAAAGAAAAAAATAGTTATCTTCAATTTAAACTAAAGATCCTCTTTAATATATCCTAGAAAGACATATGGTGGTTGAGCCACAGGTGGATATCAAGTAGTTCTGGATCTGTGGTTGGCAGTTTGGAAATCAGAGATATAGGATTTACTGTAGTGGCTATTTTATTTTACCAGAGGTCTTCATGATCAATTCAATAAGATGATGAAAAAGTCAAATGTCACTGATTCATCTAACCTTCAATCAATGGTTGAGATTCTGTACGCAAGAATCTCCAAACCTACAAAGAATTTTTTAGTTTATTTGAGCCACACTGAGGGCATTGCCAGGAAGCAAGATCTCACATGCTCCAGGGAATGACAGTTTTGCAGTTTCTTTTCTACATTTGGAATTAAGGAAGGAACATATATACATTACATTAAGGTGGAACAAAGCAAGGTTAACAAGATTACATGCTCCTTTGAAGGTGGTTATACCTGCCAGGGGCCTGGAAAAGAGGATAACTTGTGGCATTTCAAAAGTGTGTGTTAGCCTAGGTGCACAGAGATAACCTTTTTCTAGGGAAGTTATATGCCTGCTGTGTGACTACCCACCATGACCTGCCCCCTTAGGGATTTATGATCAGATCACTCCATGAAGTTACTTTCACTTACATTTATTTCCACACCCTTTCTTCATCCACAACACTCTCAGCCAACCATAGTAAGGGGGTATGTTAGTTTTTTACTGCTGCAGCAACAAATTACTGCAACTTTACTGCTGTAAAACAATACAAATTTATTATCTTACAGTTGTGGAGGTCAGAAGTCCTAAAATCGGTATCAAAAGAGCTGTGTTCTCTGGAGGCTTTAGGGAACAATCTATTGCGTTGCCTTTCTAGCTACTAAAAGCCAACTGTATTCCTCATCTGCTGGCCCCTTTCTCCATCTTCAAGTCCAGTAGCAATTGTAGTTTGTGAACTTGCGGCCTAGAACTCACTTTTGTAGGTGGTGGGTTATATACTCTCACCTCTGGACTTCCCCGTTACCCCAGAAATCTACCCCAGAAAAAAAGCAAAAGGGAGGCTGAGGCTTGGGTTTCCACCTTCCTGATTCTCTAATGGAGAGTGGGCAGAGTCCCAGTCCTAGCCTGCAGGAGGCAGGGCATCAGGCCTCGTAAGGGGAGGAAGCTCAGGCCTGGCTGAAGGAGGCTTTCATTTTGTGTACCTTACAGCCCAGCGGAGACAGAAAAATTACTGTATCTCCAAAAGAAGCAGCTGACTGTAGCTGGCTGGGGATTCTGGTTTGGAATCTACGGTCCCATTCTTGTCTTTTACCACTTGGATTGTAAGTAAACAACCAGTAGGGTCCTACCACTTGCTGCCAATATGC